ACATAATTGTCACTAATCAATAAGGTGTGCTATTCTGTAATACATTAAATAAATTCCATATCTCTAACTCATAGGACCTTGACACCTAACTTACTAAGATCTACTTGATACTGTCAACTTCTTCCTCCTACTCCATGATAAAATGTTTCGCAGCATTTTGGTTTTCCACCTCTCAATCTCTTTCTAACTTGAGAAAATGCACCCCTCCTTTCATCGCCAATTCTGCCTACTTCTGCACATTTGCTTCCCATCACCTGCCATGACAGTTCACTTTAAAGTAAATCTTTTAACCAGTCCTCCTCCAATAAATCTGTCCTATCACTACTGTAGTATGCTCAAATTTCTCTAAAAAACAAAAAGTACAACCTTACTTCAAATTATATTCCTTGTTTAGGGCAGACTATTTTGGAACATTTGTTTACAGAACTGGAGATATACAATACCATCATCCATGTTACAGGCTGAATGTTTGTCCCCCTGGGGTTCATATGATTCTCCTGAAGCCCTAACCCCGCCAGTGTGAGTAGGTATTTGGAGGCACTTTTAGGAGTTAATTAGTTTAGATGAGGTCAAGAGAGGGCAGTCCCCATGAAAGGATTAGTATTCTTTTTTTTTTTTTAGGATTAGTATTCATAAGAAGAACAGTAACCTTCTCTTGTCAGAGAACACAATGAGAAGGTATGTCTGCTTGCCAGAAACAAATGGCTGATCATGAAATGATCAAGGCAGATACTCTGTTTGATCTTGGACTTCCAGCTCAGAACTGTAGAAATAAACACCTACTGCTTCAAGTGACCACTGCTCACCAGGCTCTCATCCAGGAGAGACAACTTTCATGGTATATTTCATTTATTATGTCTCCTTAGGATTCCATTTATTGTGTAAGAAGTTTTCCAGATTGTTTTGATGTTTAGGATTTTAGTGAAGTTTTGAGATAATTAAGGTGTGTGTGTATATATATATATATATATATTTTTTTTTTTTTTTTTTAAGTATTATTTTGTTGCTTGACCCTCTACTGGAATTTGTCTGATGTTTATTTGATGTTTAAACTGGTGTAGTGGGATTTTGGAAGGAAGGACAGAAAGTGCCATTTCATTCTATCACATCAAAGGTACATAATCCTAGTGATTTATCACTGCTGACACTAATCTCAATCACCTGGCAAAGGAAGTGTTTGTTGGGTTTCTCTTATTTCCCCCTGCCCTTTTCACAATGTACACATTAGAAGGAAGTCACTATCGGGATGCCTGGGTGGCTTAGTCAGTTAAGCGTCCTACTCCTGATCTCTGCTCAGGTCATGATCTCACAGTTTCATGAGAGGTTCGTGAGATCAAGTCCCACAACAGACTCTGCACTGATGACACAGAGCTGCCTGGGATTCTCTCTCCCTCTCTCTGTCCCTTCCCCACTTCCATGTGCTCTCTCAAAATAAATTTTAAAAACTTAAAAAAAAAAAAAAAAGAAAAGAAAAAGGAACTCTTTATGCACAACCAACAGCTAAGAAGTGGAAATTTATGCTTTCCTTATTTGAGGGTGTAGTTAGGTACATAAATTATATTAAATTCTTCCATATTAGAGATTTGTCTCTTCTCTTTTATTCAATCATTTATTTATATCAGTATGGACCCGCAGATATTTATTTTATACTTTGGGTTATAATCTAATACTACTTTTTAAAAAACATTTTCTGGCACAAATTCTTCTAGCTTCAGTTGGGTTCCATGTCCCTGACACATCCCCATTAAAGGTAGGTTTTGTTTTGGGTTTTTTTGCACTTCCTTACTTTTTGGCACTATAAGATGCTCCAGGTCTATCTTGTTTATTTCCTGTCCCAATCATTTCTCCTAGGAGCCCTAGTTCCTTTTAATGGAGAATAGTATTAGAAACAAAGATCTGGGCACTAGGTGAACTCCCTGAAACTGGGATGTCATTGCTTATAGACTCTCTTAACTGACAAAGCCTACACACACACACACACACAAGTCCACATATCTATAAATATTTATGTGTATTTATGTTAAGGTAAACATGAGTTCATAATGAGGTCTCTGATCACCACATGGATCATTCTAATCTCCTCTCTTTGCTTATATGTATATTCCCACTCCAGCAATGAGAAACCTGGCTCTAAATATCTGCCATCCATTTACCACGGATGTATCTATCTAGTGGAATTGTTTAATTCCAGATACAAGTAAAGCAGTATCAGAATTGTTAACTTGTACCCACCTTAAGTATCAAATCTATCAACTAGAGTACAGTGCTTACATGCAGTTCCTTTCGCCTTTAGTCTTACAGACTATACTTCTCCCCAAAGTTACTTTGGTCAGCATGTCCCCACACCCCCTTCACTGAGGTTGTTTCATGTATCTGTAATATAGATTCTCCTCTTCTCAGCACCTACTTGCTTAATTCTTTGCAATCTGGCGTCAACCCCCACCCCATAATGTCTAATGACAGCTACATTCTCTCTCAAAGATCACAAACCCAAAGGTCTGGTTACAAAGGTGTGGTTTTTTTCTTTGGTACACAACTTCCATGCAGCACAAGACACTATGCAACTCTATCTTTCTTAAAATTTATCATCCCAGATTTCTATCACTGGCCTCACATTTCTAAAATGTTCCACTGATACATTTACATTTAGAATGTCCAAGATTAAAATTTAACTCTTTTCAGAACCCCCTTATTCTCCTCTTCTGGTAGCACCTTCACATTCCCAGTGACCAGGCATAATAATATCTCATCATTTTTTTTAACTTTATTTATTTAGAGAGAGACTGAGAGTGGGCTGGGGGGAAGGGGTAGAGAGAGAGAGAGGGAGAGAAAGAATCACAAGCAGGCTCTATGCTGTCAGTTTGGAGCCCAAAGCAGGGCTTGATCTCCCCAACCATAAGATTATGACAAACTGATAAATCAAGAGTTGGACATTTAACCAAACGAGCCACCCAGGCACCCTTCAAAAGTCGTTTTTGACTCTTCTTAAATCCTTGCTTTTTAAAGTCCTGCTGACTCTGTAATGCAAATCTAGCTTGCTTGTTATCCTTGATGGGGGCCAAAACATCATTAAAAATTTTTTTTCTTAATGTTTATTTTTGAGAGAGAGAGAGAGCACACGCACATGAGAGCAAGACGAGGGGAGGGACAGAGAGAGAAGGGGACAGAGGACCTGAAGTGGGCTCTGCACTGATGGCTCGAACTCACATGAGACCATGTGAGACCATGACCTGAGCTGAAGTTGGACACTTAACTGACTGAGCCACCCAGGCACCTCCCAAAACATTTTAGGCCTTCACTAGTACCTACCTGGATCACTTCAATAACTTCAAAATAATTTTTTTCTACTTTAATCTTGTTGGCTTTTATTTCTCACAGCACCCTGTGGTGATGGCACTCACTACAGTTTGCAGTTTTATATGTATTTTAAAGGGATATTTTTTGTTGTTTTAAAGTTGTGGTAAAATATACATTACATAAAATTTATCATCTTTAGCCATTTTTAAATATGCAGTTCAGTAATATTAAATACATTCACAATGTTGTGCAACCATCACCACAATCCAGCTCTAGAACTCTCTCATCTTGCAAAACTGAAAACTCCATACTCATTCAACAATAATTCCTCATTTCCCCCTCCCTCCAGCCCCAAAACAGCTACTATTCTACTTTCTATCTCTATTAATTATTCATAATATTAAATGGAATCATACAGTATTTATCTTTTTGTGACAGGTCTATTTCCCTTGTCATAATGTTCTCAAGGTTCATCTGTGTTTGTTTGTTTAAGATTTCATTTTTAAGTAATCTCTACACCAAATATGGGGCTCGAACTTATAACCCTGAGATAAAGAGTCACATGCTCTACCTACTGAGCCAGCCAAGTGCCCCAAGGCTCATCCATGTTGTGGCATGTGAAAAACCTCAAAATCTGACTACTTCAGCTCACATTCTCCTCCAGTTCATCTTACATTATTTTACCAGATTCACCTTCCTAACACACAATTCTGGCATCATCCTCATGTTGAGAAATAAAACCTTCAATTTTACTTTCTGTTGACAGTATCGCCATCAATGCGATATATCTGGTATATTAAATTCTATGCAAAATTGATTATTACTCTTCTCCCTTAAAAGAGTAAAATATGACATGGAAAAGACTGAATTAGATTATGACACTTGTCTCAAAAAGGGAATGACCCAAAAATATGAAAATTAGTCTGGTTCACAAACTTAAAAACACAAAAAACCTTCTGCCTCTTCTGTGTAAGAGCATAGAAGTGAAAGAAAACTCTGTATTATCTTTTATTAGGTGGTGTCTTTGTGCTTAACCTATGAAGATGGAGCACAGCATAATGTTAATACCTTATGTACAATATTTTAAAATCACTGGTCTACAGTGTTATTTCCTTTAATGTCATGACTCAGAGGCAGCTAAACCCCATCTTTTTAGAAAAAGAACTAAGGCCAAAAGGTAAAGCAATTTGCTCAAGGTTATATAGCTGCTGTTTAGACAGAACTGGGGCTGGCTACTATAGTCAGAATTTTTTTTCCTATACCATGTTTTTCAAGATGGAGGGAAAATAAATAATTCCTATCAAAGACATACACTACAATTACTAAAGAGTTTACTTCACCCACAAGAATGACACAACAGCTAGTCATTACAAAGCAATAAAATATAATAAAACTGGAAAATAAGTTTTTTTCTTAACCCTTATTATTTAAAGAGTCATTGAGTTGATGTTTTTGGATCAATAGTTACTACCCATTTTTAGTATTAAAAGTAATGTCTTAGAAATAATACCGTAGATGGTTTTTAAAATGTTTGTATTTTCACTTTATTTTTAGCCAAATATACGAGCCATAAATGTGACTGCAGGAGATTTAACAAACCCAACCAATCTCTCACAGGTCTCATAAACTGAAAAACATTTTTGTTCTATGGAGCTTTTTTAAAGAAGTATATCCTTAAAGCAGGATATACTTTTTTCACTTACATACAGAAGTAGCAGCAGAAATCAATCTTGTATTTGAGACTACTCCAAATTCCTAGAGAAATAAAAGTGGATGAGATCAGGCATATAGTAACCCGATGAACCTAACGGTATATGGGGTATATTAAAAACAAAGTATTTCCCACGTACCTCCCCCATGTCTATAGTCTGTTCACCTTGAGGCATGAAGTACTTAAATCTCTCAATGTATTACCTTTCCTTAATATTGCTGCAATAAGACCAATGTTTAAATAATTTTGTAACTTAACATCATTGAGAGGTACCAAATTAGAAACCAAGCCCTAAAGCAAGAATGCCAGCTTTCTGCACTCAAATTAGTTCCTAAAAACATTTTTTAGATTCTACACTTAATTGCAAGAAAAATATTAAGTATGCTTCCTATTCAATTGAACCCGGACTAACAAACAGGTACTTCATGCTATTTAGTAATAAAGCAGTTGAATCTCTAAAGAAGATAAACTTTAACATCATCAAATAATTCAAAAGACCACAGAAACCATTATTCTTTTTGGAACAGGAAAACAAGAATGATGTAGTAGAATACTTCTAGTATCAGTTCCCATTTCCTCTTTGAATTTAATATGCCACCATTGTAAAAAGAACTGAAATTTATGAGGTGATCCACTTATATTGTCTCATTTAATTTGATTAACCTCATAAGATTACTGATTACTATAGCCTTCACTTCATTTCAAAACAAAAAAATCAAGACTCGGTTCCTTATTCAAGGAAGGGAACTAAACTCCAGGGGCCTGGGTGGCTCAGTCAGTTAAGCATCCAATAACACTTGATTTTGGCTCCGGTCATGATCTTGGGGTTCCTGAGATCCAGCTCTGCTTGGGATTCTCTCTCTCTGTCCCTCCCCTACTCATGCACACTCTCTCTGTCAAAATAAATAAATAAACTTTAAAAAGGGGGGTAGGGGGCTAAACTAAATGGAGTCTATTTAAATACCTTCAATGTACATCTGTATCTGGGGGCAGGGGTGGGTGGGTATGTATAAGT